CATTGTGATTGCGTAGAGGAGGTCTGGGCTCCTCGCCGCCGGGAGGGGCGGGGCCTCGGAGGGGGCGGGGCCAGGGCGCCCCTGAGGGGCCTCGGGGCGGGAAAGGGGTCGTACGGCGCCTGCCTCCTCAGGACTGCCCCGTGTCAGCGCTGGGCGAGGCGGGGGCTGGTTTCCTTCGGGAACGGGTATAAAGTGCCTGAGATGGGCGATTCGGTCAGTGAAATATTTTTATAGGTGGCTCTGAAGTGTTCTTCAGAGGCGAGCGTGTGACTGGAAGGGCAGTCTGGGCAGCTTCTCTCAGAGAAAATACTCTTTTTTTTTTTTTCCTAGAGCATCTTAAGAAGCATGTCTGACTCTCCAGGAATTCCCAGTGCTGCTGGTGGCTGGGAGGGTGCATCAGGAGATGGACTGTGGTGTGCGTGCCCGGCTCCTCCTGCCCTCCTCGGCTGCCTGCTGTTAGCCAGGGTCTGGCGCCCTGTCGGGGAAGGTAGGTGGGGGAGCCCGCCCAGAGCAATGGCTCCTCTGTGGGAGTGTAAAATTAAGAGGAAACCTTTAAGAAAGCATAGTGGTGTATTCAGTATAACTAAGGTATTGCAAGCTCCTTTTTTCTCCTGAAAAAAAACAATTCTTATATGTATATATATATAAGCCTCTATTGCAACCTTGCTACAAAAAGGACAGATATCATTTTAAATTCCATTAACTGATTGGGGAAAATCCTTCTGTAACTGGCATAGACCCAGGCAATGTGAATTTTAGTAATAATGGTTACAACTATTTTTTTTTTTTGACCCTAAAAGAGAAAGCTGCAGGCAGTGTGCATCTTTTTACATATATATAAAAACATATATATACAAATCGATATGTAGCTCTGAACAGTTTCACTTAACATTAGCAAAAATATGGCATTTCCACTGCCAAGCTGGGTTGCAGAAAGGACCATTGCGTTTAATTCCAGTCGGAGCAAGCAGGTGTTGTCGCTGCAGTGCTTCACCGTAACGGGAGACTACGGGCCCAGCCTCGAGGAATTTCTCATCTGCGGTAGCGCCACATCTGGTTTCTGGGGAAAACTACTTAAATATCTGGGGCCTTGTTTCACTCTCAGTGACTGTATTCCTACAGTCAACACATTTAAACATTTTGCTGTGAGTCTTTGAAGCACTGCATTTGTTAGATGTAGAAAAAGTCAGTCAAAATCTAGCTGTGTTTTCTCTCACAAACCTAACACTCCCTAAAGAGCAGTACATGCAGAGATACCAGTATTGCAGGTTTCTGGGACTCGTCTTTTAGGTTTGCCCATCCTACTCTTATGACAAACACTTGCACAGGGAATGAGTGCAATGCCACTGCTTGCATTGCATCCAATTGTGCAAGTTCCAACCTGCTGTTTTGCTTTGGCTTCTCAAGACGGGAGCCTTGCTGTTGCAAACAGTCCCTTACAGGTTAGATTGGGCACAGATGAACAGGAGTTAGTACAAGTTGGCTGATGGAATTGGTCCTGCAACCTGTAAAGGTTAAGAGCTCCTCCTCCTAAGCTATTATGAAGCTTTATCACAGCACTTGTTATGTTGTAATCCAGCAAGTGCTTGATCTTTTACCCACCCAGGCACTGGAGGCATTTTTAATTATCTGAGGCTTAATTTGCATAGAAGCTTTTGCTGAAACAATAAATTCATACCTCTGTTATTATTTGGTATGAGTTTCTGTATCAATATTTATATTTGGATAAAACTAAAGTAGCTTCCTACTAGCGTTAAGGCAAAGGGCTTGCGTCAGAGCAAGTTGAAGAGTCATCCAGCACTAAGAACATCTTCCACTTTTTTGCAGGGAAAGGGCAATTATAATGCGTGGCGGGAGGACATGTGCTCTAATGCCTCTTTTCTATGCAGGGATGAGGAGATATAAACATCTTGTCTGAGGAAAAGCACGTTTTGCAAGGCCTGACAAACGTGATGTTCACCTTGAGCCAATGCATTATGTATGTTTTAAATGTTGGTAAGATTGTTTTTGCAACTGACGTTGTAAAACTCCAGTGGAACAGCTAGCTGTTTATTCATCTTATTAAGGAATTTGGTACTTACTTCAGTTTAGAGGGGGAACTGCTATTTATGGTGATATATAAAGTGGAAGTAGGGTGAGAGAACATGCCAGGAGGGGATCTCTCTCCCTGTGCTTGTCCCATTGCTCATGTCATGCAGGCTCCCTCACCCCTCCAGTCTAAAGTGGAGAGCAGAAAAGCAGGGTACTGATAGCACGCGAGGAGCTGTGGAAAGTCCATGCTCTTGCAGGGCAGTGGGAAGCGGAATGGAAGTTTAGGAAGCTGTACTTGTGCTGGCAGCACGGCTGTAACATAGGAAACAGGTCCCTTCCTCTGAGCATGTGGTTCAGCGTCTCCCACCCCCCTCACTCCCATTCCTGTACCGGTTATGAGATAGGTGTAACGCAATCAAGAGCAATCCATGTTGTTTCCTTTCTGCTTTTACTTTAGAGACACTCTGAAGTGTGTACAGTGTCTTCTATCTATGTTTCTTTATATGCTACATGAACTAAATCCTAAATAATCCCGTGGAACAAGTGAATGGTTTCATCTCCATGTTACAGATCGGAGGTGGAGGCACAGGCAAAGCAATACTTTCCAGGAAATTGCAGTACAAGCTAGTAGGAGATCCAGGTTTTCATCATGACTCCTGACATTTGTCCTTGCCACTAAAACGTGTCCCCCTTTCAATGCCATAGGATGTTTTATAATAGGGCGAAAAAAAAATGGGTTTTAGCAGAACTGTTCTACATTAAAAGGAAGCATTTATTTTCATTGATGCCAGCTCAGTGAAGGCTTGACCCTGGGCCCACAATGGGAGTTTTATCCTTGACTTTAATGGACGAACAATCACGGTCTCATGATATTACATCCTAAAGAAAGGAAAATACTGCAGTTTTTATCAATAAGATAAATGTTTCATAGTTAGTGTAAGCTGCTATATTCTTGCAATAAATGGTTTATTAGATTGATTAAATGTCTTAACTTCACTTCAGCTATTAATCAGTTTTGGCAGCTGTTTATTGCTTTGTATACTTCGAAGTAATGGAGATTATCCTTTAATTATCTCATTGCAGTTCATTCATTGTTTCCTAAATAGTGCCATTACAATGGTAAATTGCAACAGTAAAACAGTGTCAATACAAAGTTATGGAGTTCCCATTTTATGATGCATTCATAAAGTTAACACAATCTACTTAAAACGTAGCTGTGATTTCAGCGCAGTGACATATTTGATAGGGCATAAGAGATTTTGATGAGAAAACAGTAGAGCATTAAGTGTGCTGGGACTCCGCTCTCGCCAAAGTGAAACACAGCATGTTCCCTGTTGGAATATATGTGCATATCAGAATTTATTAAACTAGTACTTATTTGATCACTTTCGGTTTCACCAAATGCTGTGAATTCCAAAGATTTTGTGCCTTTGAATACAACATATTTATTTCTTTTTGTCTGTGCAAAAAGAAATGAGAAAACTCCAAGCAATACTATCATTTAGAGGTTACTATTGTCATTCCACAGAAGGATAAGAGAGTACCAAATCAATCAGAAGAAAATGGCTGCTTTTAGTATTATCTTCAGATCTGGCAGCAATTCACAAAGTAGCAGTTGCATAACAATTTCCATTCCAAGTCCCTTTTTCAGTCAACTGTAACTATACCTAACTTTAACATTATGAGTTGTCTGTTTCAGGCTGAGTTGTTTGGGAGGAATCGGTATTACTGGCAAGCTGAGAAAGATGCGTGAAACCCGCTTTCAAAACTGTAACATAAATTGCCTCCCTTCTTGCTCCCCAATAAAAGTTTTTTTGGGAAAAAATTAACACTGTAAATTTTGGGTTCTCAGTTTTTTTTTAATTCTCCTTGACTTTTCACTGTGCTTATGATAGCAGAAAATGTGGGTCCTTAGCTTGGGTTAAATGAGTGCCGAAGATAAGGTGAATGGGGTTTTTTACTAA